TTCCTATCTGTGTGGGAGCATTTAGGTGCAGGAGTCTTTGGCATGGAGCTAGAGCCTTCGCTCCCCGGACTGGGGATCGTTACAGTATTTCTCGGGAATCTCCTGCCCGTTCTTGCGGGCGTCTTTTCCCACCTGCAGGAGCTGGTGGGTTCGGGCCCTGGCGCGGGGAAGGTCTCAGCGCCCCTCACACGGACATGCGGTCCCTCCGGGGCATCCCTGGAGACCGGGTTTCCCTTGTCAAGGTCCCGAGTGGATCGGACTGACGAACTGTGATGGGGAAACGCTCCGCTTCCCCAAAACCCAACGAGCATTTCCAGAGACCCTCCAAGAACCGGGTCTCCCTGCAGCTGAGCTCCCCTTACAGCTACAGACACCGCCACTTCTTACTGTGAGTCAGTGTGACGAACTGGGACTGTTTTTAATGTGGTCTTTGAATGCTGAGTGGGGAGTGGTGGCCTGGGAAGGTGGCAGGAGGGTTTGGCTGGGACGGTCTGCATTGGGGGATGGGAGACTGGCCTTGAGGGAGGAGACCCGAGCATGTAACCTGAGAACCCAGGAAGGGGTTAGAGGCCAGGTGACACCTTTGCCCGGGAAACTGAAGAAAGGCTGGGGGGAGAGAGAGTTTCAGGAGCTGGCTGGTAATGGAGGGATCCCAGACGGGGCTCTGTCCCCCTCCCCAATGGGGCTGTGGTGTCCCTGGGACCCCAAGATGGTCCTAACTGAGGGGGTCCTGTTGTCTGTGCCTGCAAGACCTGTCTTGGACTGTGTTCCTGTCGTCTAAATAAACCTTCTGCTTTACTGGCTGGCTGAGAGTCATGATGAATCACAGGAAGCCGGGGGTGCAGGGCCTTGTGTCCCCCACACTCCGTGACAGTCAGTTACAGTGCAAGTGTGACAAACACACAGTAACACACACACACACACCATCTCACAGTCGGCCATCCACCCACCCACAGGCAGCCACAACCACCCTTCCCCTCCCCCGCCCATCTCAGCCTTACAGACAAAAAGTGACAGGAGAAAAGCTGGCTGGGAAGAGGCAGAGAGAGGGGGGCTGAGGTTTTCAAAGGCTCCTACAGGACTTTAGGGATTAAACTTCCCTTTTAATTTAACTGGAATTTGGGCGCCTAACTCCCTTAGGTTCATTGGAAAATTAGGGCAGGGCGGATAGGCAGCTACTAACCAGCGAGAGAGAGAGAGAGAGAGAGAGAGAGAGAGAGAGAGAGAGA